ACCTCTTTCTTAGTACGGCCATGGCGCCTTCGAATTCCTGGTAGCTCCTGTATTAATCTGATCTGTGCTATGCTTGGAGTCTCACAGTCCCCCTCATTCATATTTATACCACTACGCCACATTCTTGAGTCCAGTGCCAGGCAGACAGTAGTTGCTCAACAAATATTTGTTGACTGAAGACTGAGTCCAAACTTTTGAGCATCTCACATTCTATCTAGTAAACTGAAAGATTCATATTTTGCACTGTCCGTATGTTCTACCTGTGTACATGTTACATCTCTACAACCAGATTCTAAATTCCTAAAGCCTACCTTGTGTCTGAATCAACACCTTGGTGGTGCTTAGAAAAGAGCTTCTTAGGGCCGGGCCCCTCCTCTGAGAGTCTCAAAATGATCTAAGGGCTCTCTGTTACAATAACCAGTGTTTCTCGAGCACTCCTACAACTGTGTGAGCTAGGTATGCCTGATCACAGCTTTTCACCGAGAACAGGTGAGGATTTGCTGGGCCTCTGATCTGGCAAGCAGACAAGTGTCCTTGAACAGTTTCACCATTCTGAGCCCACCCACACCAGGTAATTTCCCTCAGATAAGCAAAAAACAGATGTTTGAACAGATATGGGCAGAGATGTCAGAGTCACAGAAAAGATGAGGAACTCTCCCCATGAAATGATATTACTCCTCTAAAATGAGAGTCCATGATTTCCAAGTACGGTACTCCTTGGATATAGGCAGGACTCCTGGAATTTGGTGGTCAGCTAGGGCCAGTTGCTGAAGAAGGTTAAATGGATTCCAAAGTGATAATTCTGAATTGCTGACAATTGGCCAGCAGTGATAACGAGCTGGAGAGCTATCAATATTGCATCCCCATCCATCTCCTCATGCTTCTGAGTGAACTTACCCTGCCTCGCTGGCCTGGCTCCCCTCCCTGGACCCAAAGCCATTTCCGAGCAATATTAGTAGATACCATTTGTTGGTTGTCATTTATGGACTACAGGTCAACTTGCAGGCTGCTGTGACTGGATTTTAAATTACATTCGGGTCCTCTGATATTGGACATTGCTGTTGTCACAGACTTTTAGGGAACACGAAGACGGGGAGCCACCCTATCAATCATGAGCAACAAGAAACCATTCACCAGAGGGGAAAATGGGGGTGGGAGAGGTTGCTTCTTGGAATGAGTAAAATTTGCTGATTTCATTCTTTTTTAATATTCTATTCTTTTCAATCTGTTAAGTTTGCTAGTGAGTAGTATTATAGCAGGAGTCAATTATCTTTGTGGTTTCTTTAAACCAGCAAGTTGAGAAAAGTGTCAGTTTGGGGCAGGTGGCAAACCATTTCCTGATGAAATTCAGGGCTGCCTATAATGACTTACCAGACACAGGGGCCTGCTTGGCTGAGGATCTAAGTTTAGCCTCGGGATTTGACATTGCCCTTGGGTCAAGCCAGCAGTCCATGTGGATGGCTAAGCTGTCTCTGGCTGCTTGTCTTCCTTCACTTATGACTCTGTAATAAATATGGAAAGCAGAGAAACACCCCCCCACCCCATCTTCTTTCTTTGCTTCTGGACCCTCTGACCTCCACCAACAGATGATTTACTCAATCTAGAAATCAAGCAACTGGACTCCCCAACATGGCAGATTTCACTTCTTCCCAGGGGATGTCACTAGAACCTTCATGTTGCATTATTTTGCTCTTGCCAGTGTAGTCATCTTTCTCCCCATTGCTTGTGGGGGCTGTCTGTAGCAAAAGATGTCACCTTCTTCTAGGTAGGCAATCCTCCTGGGACTAGGGCAGGGCCTACTGCAGGAATTTGGGACAGAAAGTCAGGGGATAGATACACTGCAAGGTCAGTTATGTGCAGTAATTCCCAGAGTCCACATCAGAAAATAGAGTGTTCTCTCCTGCCAGCATTTCTCCAAGGAAAATGCTCAGAAAATGCTCAGAAAAATGCCCCCTGCATTCTGTATTCACCATAATCAGAAAGTCTCTAGTTCTGTGGGGTAGCAGGAGCTAAGTGTGAAGAGCTGTTCAGAGGCCATCATTCACATGACATGGGTTTGTTTACTGCTTGTTTCACAGATCAGAAACTGAGGCTTCCAGAGGATGAATCTAGTAAATGGCAGCATTCAGATCTGAGCCTAAGTTTTCTGCCCCTAGAGCTCTCTTCACAAGGAGAACCGAAGCTCTCACAGTTGACAGAGCTCCATAAGAGCCCGGATGAACTTCCCTGCTTTCCCTTTGTGGGGAAAAATGGGACAAGACAGTTGGTTCCAGAGCTCGTCATTGCTAAACTGGATCTGGAATTCCCTCTAGCCAGGCCAGCATACCTTAGGACAAGTGTCTCCTGTATGAACCCTGACAAGCTGGTACAACAATAAAAAAGAACTAGCTCTCATTTTGGAATGTGTCCTGGGCACCAGGTACATGCCTGGTATTTACATATGTAAATATTTTATACAAGGTAGGAATTAGTCCTGCCTTTTTACAGGTGAAAAAACTCAGGTTTAGAGACTAGGTAGGTAGTAAGAGCACACTTGGGTTTTATATGCAGATTTTCCTGACTCTTTCCATTCACTATACTTGACCTTCAGATACTGGGGTCACCTAAAAACTTGAAGCATTTGGCCGCATTGTGATTTCTGCTGAGAACCCTGAATTTGCAATGTCTTGCACTGAATCACCAAGCACTCAGGATGCACCTGTGTAGCCCCCTATCTTGCTTCCTTGTGAGCCATTTATACTGTGTTCAGAATGTGGGCCACAAAAACATGGAGGAGCTGTCTAGACTCAGGAGAACACCAAAGCCAGCTCTAACTAGAATGCTATAAAACCTTGAATGTTATCTTAGGCTTGGGCTGTGACTTCTGCAACATGTCCACCATGAGGGTGTCCCTGGAAGCAGAAACCAGCCCTGAGAACTAAGAAGGGAAAGAGTTGAGTTTCCCCCACACTGTGGGGAAGAAACCCTGCTGGCCCACCAGCACAGGGTGTGGAACTGCAGCTTTTCACTGCCACGTGACCCTCCATGGTCTGCCTGAGTGAAGGCCCAGGGATGCATGTTCCCTTCCTCCTTAGACCTCCCAATGGGGATGAGACTCTGGGTGGTAATTTCAGTAAGTTCATGTACCATCCCAATCTCAAACCTCTCTTCTGACAATGGGCCAAATGTGCTTCAGGCTAGAAAATACAGTAGGCCTGGTATCTGCCAGCCCACTAGGGGCCTTCGTGATGCCCACTACTGCCATTTCTACTGCTGCAGGTTGGTGTGGGCCTCTGATTTGGCCTTTCTGTTCCTCAAATAGCATGAGTAAATACTATTTACTAGAGACCCTGCCTAGTCCTTTTCTGGGCTAAAGGTGAGTATTGGCCATTAGTAGGAGGGCAGCTGGGTGGATCCACACCTCAGACAGCAAGGGACTGGGTTTAACAGAGGGTCCAGAAGAGCAGCAAGAGATTCCAGTCCAATCTGCATTTAGGTCTATTCATAGCTTGGGCAGGTAAATCATGCAAATCTGCTCCAAAATGGAGTATTTGCCACAAATAGGCTTTGAAGGGGTGTTGTGATGGGTGAAGCACTGTTTGTGCAGTGTGAGATCTGGGAGTCCTTGAAGGCACTGTATTTATCTATGATACATTTTCACAGAGGCCTTTGCATGCAACAATCCCATTGCCCTCTCTGAAACTGTTGGTCTTGCAAAGGCTTAAAGAAGCACCCAAGGCTGACGGGTGATGAGGAAGCCCAGTATTCTTTCTTTGACCCTCAACTTGGGCAGCCTTCTCAATTGAGGCAGTAGCCCTCAGTAGCTGGGAACATGTCCCTTTCTGCCTCAGGCCTACTACCCACTTCACTGTGGGAATTGAGAAGGCCAATTTAATTGAATTGATTGCCACTTACAAAGCTGTGGTTACTCCTCTGAGAGGTCTATTTAAAGTTTCTGAGCTATATAGAGATAACAAAATAAAAAGCAACAGTGAAAGGCAAAGGATGATTATCAAATTGCTCTGGGAACCTTCAATGTGAAAAAGATATAAAAGAAAGATTGAAAGGTATTAGTCTATAAGTCTCATCGAGGTCAGAAGACTAGAACCTTTTAAAAAAGACTTTTAGAAACAAAACTTTAGAAAACACACACATAGACACACACACTGCAGTCATCATAGATAAATGTGAGCTCCTATCTTAGATTACATTAATATTGTTAACCTATTTTAAATTCCTATGGCACAGCAAGAGTCTTCTATACTTACAAGATTTTTTTTTTTTTTAATGCATGAGCTTTAAACTCGTTTTCTTACTTTAAATAGATGTATATTAACTCTCCGTTTAGGCTGCAGGACCTCCTAGCTTAGTACAACAGCCCAACAAAATAAGAGTGGATACAAACTCTGTAATTTACTCACAGGCATAAATGGATATATAAATGTAAAAATGTGCACAATATTTTATGCCATGCTTGGCTTCATTGTGACCTAATGTTTATAATATGTAAATAATGGTTTCCTTTTAAAGCAAAGAACTTTTAATGTACAGATTCATCTTAAAGTCCTTTTTTCCTTAGTAAAAACAGAAATAAAAAGAAAAAAGTATTTTTGTGCGATAAATAAATACCCAATGACAAAGGTTACCATTGAAGGGATTAAAAACGACAGAAGTCAACAGAAAACTTTCAATATCATACTTCTACTTTAATATGAAGATATGGTTATCAAAGGAAAAGACTCAAGAAATTCTTTGATAAAAATAATCTCACACTTATCTTTGAAGCGGTTTCATTTATTTTACTACCCACTGTGTTCCTTATCAGAAGGCCAAGGGTAAGAAGTTTCCTAGTTATGATTAGGAAAGAATCCGATAGATCAGAAGACCCAATTGAAGTTGGACATAATAAGTATTAAAGTATTACATGACATTAATCCTGCCATTCCATTACTCTCTCCATCTTTGTGCACAGACTAATTATTCTGTAGCCAGTATTCAGGAGAAAATAGAAACATACTTACCATGGGCCGGAGTAATCTCTTTATTGCATCAACAAGGCTGGCTCTGTACTGGTCCAGAAACAGACTGACATTGAGAAGAGAGCAGAATCCAGATTAAACTGGGTTTTCAAGTCTAATGATACTAATGGTGATAAATACAAGGCTCATTGCACGTGTTTGCCCAATCCTAAAAAGAGAGAAATTGGTTCCTTCCATTCAAGTGTTTGCTGGGGGGCAAAATTTAAAAAGAAGATATAGTGGTCATCGTTATCCAGCTAAAACCAAGCCATTCACATGCTTCGGGCCAGGACTCACGTGTGGGGCATATGTTAATGTTAAAGGAACAGTTTCTAAACTGTTCTTAGTAGGTGTCATCTGGGA